TGACCTCAAGTTTACACCCTTGAAAAAAGTAATGAGAAATTATTCAGAAACTTTCCAGCTAGTGAGTACTATGTCATTTTGTCTCATTTTTGTCATTTATGTCTAATTTTTCTTCTTCTTGCCATAAAAAGTTTAAACAGAAACCTGAATCTTTACCTGAACCTTTAATTTTTTTTAAATTAAAGGAAATAGAACATTTAACTGACGCATTTCTGTTTTTTAAAAACTGATATAGCTGGGCAACATGTTCAGGATGTAAGCCTTACTCTGTGACAGCTGGGATGGGCTCCCTGAATTGGATCAAAGATAGATGGATGAAAGCAAGTCCACTGAGTCCAAGAGTAATAATTCCACATTTACAGTACATCGGTAGAAACATAGTCTCACGGGTGAAAGCCCGTTCATTTCTTTATAGCTCTGCCTCTTCCTTATGTCGACTCTGTGACTCTGCATTTTTTTCCAGTTTCAGTATTTTTCCTCCCCACTTAAGTTGCAAAGCATCACAACAATGTGATTGGTCAGGTGCAATGATGGCCCCACAACAACATCATGATCTCTTAACATAGTGATCTCAGATATCATCATGTGGCCCAGTACATCCATGTAAGAGTGAATCACCAGCTGACCTACACACCCGTGTTCTGGGCTTGTTGTGTCTGAGACAGGAAATATTCTAAGAGTGATTCTGGGTCCAGTCAGAATCCAACACTGGGCTCAGAAACACCTGCAGAAACCCAATCAGAGGAAGCCTAAGGAGAAAGATGTCACACTAGATGAAGTCAATTAGAAAATGCAACGCAGCAAAGAGTTTTAAATTTTTCTTTAAAACCAAATGTCAACACAAAAATGCAGCTGATAACACTCTGAGAATCACAGCTACATTTATTTGTCTTTCTTTGTCTCCTCACCCTCGCAGAGCCAGGCCATGCGTATCGTTCGGACAGTCGGGCAGGCGTTTGAAGTTTGTCACAAACTGAGTCTGCAGCACACGCAGCAGAACACAGATGGACAGGACGACCACCACAGCGACAAGAACAGCAATGACTCCTCCGTCACAGGTAGACACGAACACCATTCCATTTTTTATTCTATAAAAGCACTTCTGCTGTGGCCTCAAGTCTGTTAAAAAGTGCTTACTGCAAGTTCAGTTGTGCATACTGTGATCACTTTGGAGAATGGTGGAGCTGCAGAGGCACTAAAGACTGCAAGGTGAAAGTTGCGTGTGAGTTTTCAATTTGAATTAAACTCATTAAAAGACAAAAAGTAGACGTGAGCTCGCTGAGGAGAGGTCAGGAGCAAATGCAACAAATGATTGAGTGACGTTTTGTCTCAGGGTAATTCATTTGTTGTTTTACCTTCAGCAGGCGTTGTTAGTGAACGCTGAGACAGTCTAAGACTGTTTTTCTGCGAGATGCCAGAAATGTTATTTTGCCATGTAAAGCGCCCACTTAGATAAAACGCACTGTGATTTTAAGACGAGTAAATACAGCTGTTTACGAGGTTTACTTTCAGATGAGAACTGTGCAGGGAGTGAGCAGATAGATAGACGTGTGTGGGTTGATGTAATGTAGTGCTTCAGAGGCGTGTGCTGTGATTGTGCTGTGAAGGAGACTCGAGGCTTGTTTGGCTGTGGCAGTAAAAACATTGTCGGTGTGTCTAAAATTAAAAGCAGACCTCGAGAGCAGACTTTCTGGACCATTTTCATGTGCCAACAAAGGGCACATCGCTGATAGAAACAGCCAGGCTTGTGCTGCCGATAGACTGATAGACCTTGTCTTTTTTTTTAGACACCCATAACAAAACATTGTTAAATTGAGTGCCTACATGTGGGTGGATTCAGTGTTGCTCTTTCATATTAGCTGGAGGTTGTCCAGGTGGCTGAGTGAATAAGACTCATACTTGCAATTTCCATCCTGTATAATTTCCCCCTGCCTCACTTATTTCCAATCACCTCTCTGCTTCTGTATTCATAGAAATGCAGAAATTATCCCCAAAATAGTTTATGGTTACAGTTGATATGAACATCATTCAAAATGGCATGTTTATGCCTTTTTACTGCAAAAGCTTTTTTTTTTTTTGCTGTTCCATCCTCATTATGCAGCAAGTCTCTCTTCACCTTTGTCTTTCCTCTCAAGGAAAAATGTTCTCTGTTTGGATGCTGCACTGTTGCCATAACACTGTAGCATCCAAACAGACTGATGGCTGTTGGTTTTTGCCTGCTCTGCTCCTTGGTTCACCACCACGAGACTAATTTACGACGTAAGCAATTCATTATTTTTATCTTCTGATAAAATCTAAAGTGATGCCTCCCGTTTTAACATGAATCTGTTGTTTAAACTAAATCCGATATAAATTTAGCAGCTATTCTCCTCAAGGTGGCCTCGTTGCCAGCCTCTGGTCTGTTTGTCCCCATCAGCATCAATGTGTAACATACGTGAAGTGGACTACAGTAGAGATATCAAGGTCCTTTGATGTCTAAAATAGAAGCCGTGCAACCACTGGCAACTGAGAATATTAAGAATAGTAACTGAGGGAATATTGTAGAAGTTTGTTAGTGTCTTTCCGTAACAAAACGTAAAAGCAAAACTGCAAGACATGAAACTGATTTAAAATATTAATATAATGCAATTATAATATAAATAAGTATTTACTAATAGTCAATAAGCACAAATCTGTGTGTAACCTGCGCGTATGAACATTCATCATCATCATCATTCATCAGACATTTATAATATTTGTATCTGAATTTGTTTGTACAAACAAATTTAAGTGTCTCTGACCATCTGGACAAGCAAATGAAGTATTATTATCCTTATTATTGTTATTAATGCTAAAAATAACATCAGTTTTAAATGTTAAAAGAATTATTACATTTAATATAAAGAAAACAGAATATTCAATTGAAAGGTGTAGGCTTTTAATTTGAACCTGTATTCTTTGTCATCTCTTAAATTATCGTATCTTTCATTAAAAATGACATATCGTTGCTGCACATTTTACTAGATTGACCTCAAGTTTACACCCTT